AGCCAGGTGTCTGGAGTTGGCAGGTGCTCGGCTTCCAGGTGGGTGCTCCCAGCAGGGGGAAGATGCATGGGCAACACACACACACCATGACCAAGGAGCACCTGGTTGGGGTGGCACCCACTCGGATGAGGCTGGAGTGGGGTGCTGGTGGGGCAACCCACCAGACCTGCTAGGCCTGCAGGTCATCCAGGGACCTGTGGCGGCCCCTCAGGCAGAAGGTCACAACTATTCTGTGGGCAAGTGGGCTCAGGGTAGCCAGCGTGCACTCGAGGCCTGGTCAGTGGGCCCCTTGGTGGTCCGAGCTGACAGTGGGACGATCGCTCACAGCCTTCAATCGGATGTGGAAGCGAGGTCATGGGAAGTTGCACCGGCCTGTGGCCACCGTGACAAGGGGCGGTGAGGCCGGGTCCCTGCTGGGGACCACATTCCAGCAGGGCAATGCCGGAAGCCAACTGCAGACCCACAATGGCCGGAAGCGCTGAGAAAAGGCGGGAAGGCCGCAAGGCGCGGCCGCTGGAGGGAAGAGGCCCTGAGGGGCAGGAAGGACCAGCCTGGGACATCCGGTGGTGGGTGGGGGACCTCTCAGTGGTACAGGGGGCTCTGCCAGACCCCCCCAGAGGTGAGCCCCCCCTCCCCCACCCCTCCGAGAGATGCACGGGAGCCCTGGTGAGCAGGGGGAGCTTCTGCAGTGGCCAGAAGGTGCTCTGCCCTCTGGCTGTTGGCTGAGGGGCACCTGGCCCCTCTCCCCCAACCTCACCATCCCACTCGGCAGGCAGCGGAGAGGCTGGGTGAAGGGGTCCCCACAAAGGGCCTCAGAGCCCCTGAGCTGCCTCCTGCCCTCTCTTTCAGACCTGTGCCCCAACGCCAGCAAGCAGCAGCGCCTAGGCACCCTGAAATACCTGTGCTACAAGCGCTTCGTGGAGGTGCGGGCAGGCGGGCACAGGAGCCTATGGGAGAAGTCAGGGCGGGCGCGTGGCAGGGCTCCTGGAGCAGGTGCCCGGGGGCGGGGGAGGCAGGCATGGCGAGCTCACTCGAGCTTCTCTGTGCTGCTTCTTACAGAGAAGCCTGTCTCAGGAGAATTGGGCTGACCTGGTGCAGGTGAGTCCTCCTTCCCCCTGGCTGCCCACCTGCCTGAGTGCCATGGGAGCACCAGGCTCACAGAGGATGGCCACTCCATGCCGCTGTTTAGTGGCAACTCCCAAACCAGCCCATCAGCCAGCAGACTGGGGGACCCTGTTGGGTGGCAGGACTACAGCAGCCAGTAGACCCCAAACCAACAGGTCAGGCAGCCAACAGGGACGAAACTTGTGCAGGCCTGTGTCCCAGGAACGAGAGCGACAGTCAGAAGGGAGGGCGTGTAAGCTGTCCCTGGACGCCCACAGAGGCAGGCTGCAGCCCAAAAGTCTCCCCACTGTTCAGTTGACAGTTGATCACATCCAATCATGTGATGCAGTGCGCGCACCCCTGTTGACCCGCAGCCCTGTCTTGTACTTTCATCCCGCCCCCGCACCACCCTCTGCCATCCTCAGACCAGCACCGTCCCCAGTGTCACCAGTGTCCCGTCCCCATCACTGTCTCATCACCACCTGTCCTGCTGTCACTGTCCCTCAGCTCGTGCCACCACCATCACGTCTCACCCCCCATCCACTCACCTCCACACCTCAGTACCATCCGCCACCCCAGCTTCTCAGCTCACCACCACTACCACACATGTGCAAGCCTCTGCTCGAATGTGGCCACACACGGTCATCACAGTATGTACACACGTGTCCATGTGTGTGTGTGTGTGCCTGTGAGGTAGCAGGTGAGAGCCTTCAGTGTAAAACTGGCCCACTGTGTCTCCCCACTAGTCACCAGCTCGTGCTGTGGCCTGAGACCAGGGGTCAGTCAGCAGAGGCCATGTTGTCAGGGCCTTGGTTTATGCCGAGGGGCTGGAGAGTCCCAAGATGGGCAACGGTGAGGGTGCCTCTGAACCCTGATACCTGGCCCCAGCAGCTGCCATCCTGCCCTTCACTGAGGGGCGGAGGAATCCTCAGGGTCAGCACTGACAGGACCTGTGGGCTAGTGGGCACCTTGTGGTGGGTGGAGTGTGAGGAAAGGCGTAGTCCAAGGCAATGGGGCCCCCGATCCTCTGCGTGCTGGAGCAGGCCCTGCCGAGCGTGGGTCCTCGGGAAGGCGACAGCTCCGTCCCAACATGGGCTGGGCTGGGCTGCAGCTGGGGATCCAGCTTGGGCTCGTGAAGACTTGCTGCGGGCCCTCCTGCCCTTGTGGCAGGGACTGGACTGTCAGTGTCCCCACCCCTACATGACAGCCTGGGCTTGCAGCATCCATCTCATTGGGCCGTCTTGGGGACAGAGCTGCCCCCAGGACCTGCATGGGGGGTGAGCAGAGATGCCCAGTGTCTGCAGCACCAAGCTGGCCCTGGGGCTGGGCAGCATCTCCCTCTCAGGTGGCGGGTGAAGTGCCTGGAGTCCTCCAACTGGCCCCCAGGGGTGGCGAGGACATGAGTCACCAGACAGGAATGTAGCCCCTCACCAGGCAGGGCCTGGAAAGCTGGCCCGTCCCCCTGGGTGCAGAAGCTGTGGTGGCCAGTCGGGCAACGGACATCCTGAAGAAAGTGCAGTTGTTTCCCCTGATTGTGGTCCACGTGGGA